CAAAAAAACAGAGAGACTTATGAGAAGAGCAGACCTCAGTTTGACAGATCTGGAGATCACACAGAAAGGATGCCGCGGTCTCTTAAGAACTGAAGTGTGCTGCTGTAATGTATAATGTGTTCCAGCTGGAAGTTTGCCTCGCATACCTTGTACCACCGGATTTCTGCGTTTATGTGTCCATATGCCTTTTTTTTTTTTACCCAGAGAGTGTCAGTTTGCTTAACGTTGTGGCTTATGAAACAGCCCTGCCATCTGAAAAGGCTACACACCTACAGAGGTTTAAAGGAAATGGGCTCCTGAGGGGTGCTGGGGGTGCTCTATGTTAGAGAGATGAAGTCCTGTAAATCGTTGCCAGTAATCATCCATATAAAAGAACAGCTGCGTCTGGGACCAGTTTTAAGTATGGCTGCCATACCGTGCCTCCCTCCGCTGTTTAATATTCAGTTGAACAAGCAGCAAGTGTACATGTGTGCGTGCACGCTCTGTGCCACTGCTTGCTTATGTGCGCAGAGGTTGCCCTGGATATGCACTCTGCTCTGGATAATTTCCAAGCCCAATCTATATTGCTACCAGGCTCTGGAATGCACCTTTGCTCCTGGGAAATTTCACCTGAATTGCTTGGCCCGTGTGAGCGTACGTCTACATGAGTAACCTAACCATAAATGTTACTGCTTCTTCTAATAGGTGTATTACAAGAGTGTGTGTCAAATAACACACAGCTCCACACTAAAAACATCAAGACTCAACCCGCTAATGGCATCAACTTTGTCATCATGGACTCTGATGAGCTGGTTTGGGCTTTAGTTTGCAGAGCCTAATTTTACCCTGTGGAAGAGGGAGGAGATCTGTCTGTAGTTTGCAAAGGGCCTGCTCCTTGTGTCCGTGACTCATGCGTGCTCATGATATGGCTGGGCGGTGCTGGGGTGGGGGGTGGGGGGAGACATTGGGATCTATGTTTGTTTCTCTGTTGCAAGGCAATCCACTTTGGTCTTTGACATTATGAGGTGTTATAGAATGGGGATGCCGGTGGACTGTCACGAATGTGCCGCTATCAGTGTGCAAAGTTTCTATTGTCTTGCTCTCTCTTTTTATGGTTCTGCACCAAAGTGTGAGATTCTCTGTTTTGTTGATAATGAGCATGCAACACTTTTGCTGCTGTAACATGTGACACTTGTACTTTGAGCAAATCTGATTTATACCATTCTAATGAAAGGATATTATTATAAAGACCTGCAGTTCTGACCTCATGGGGTCTCCTGTATTATCCTGAATTATAACCATTTGTCTAAGTGTTAGTGGAGTGTGAAAGATGGAAATGTGACAGTGATTGAAATGCAGTATTTTTGTTAAGAAAACCAAATCAAATAGGAACGCTCTATATTAAAATTTGAAAACAGCCGTTTTCTCAAGGTGCTTTATATTGAAAGGTAGAAACCCTGCAACATACACAGAAATCCCCAACAACCAGGAGATCCCACTTTGAGCAAGCACTTGACAGCGGAAAGGAAAAACACTTTTTTAACAGGAAGAAAACTCTGTCGGAACCAGGCTCAGGGAGGGGCAGACATCTGCCACAATCGGTTGGGGGCTGGATTTAGGAGACAGGATAAAAGACGCTAGAGAAACGAGCCAGAGGTTAATAATGATGCAGAGTGGTGAATAAAGACAGTGAGTGAAGAAGAAACACTCCATGTGAAGCCCCCAGCAGCCTTTGCCTAATTCAGCATAACTAAGGGAGGATTCAGGGTCACCTGATCCAGCCCCAACTATAAGCTTTGTCAAAAAGGAACGTTTTGAGCCTAATCTTAAAAGCAGTCTGTCTCCAAAATCCAATCTGGGAGCTGGTTCCACAGAAGACAGGCCTAAAAGCTGAAGATCGGCGTCCCATCCTATTTTTAAATATCCCAGGAACCACAATTAAACCAGCAGTCTGAGAGCAAAGAGCCCTGTTGAGGTGATATGGTACTATGAAGATTTTAAGATAACATGGGGGCTGATTATTCAAGACCACCTGCCTAATATTTTGCATGTGGGCCTGTGTTGCTAAAATAGCTGACTCAGGTGTCTGCTGAAAGGGAAGATCCCACCGTTTCTCAGTTTTGGGGGCCATCTGAAGAGTTTGGAAGCCTGCTCTATGCCTGGATGACTTTTTTGTGTTCCTTGAGCTGTTCTTTTTTTTTTTAAGATATGATGGTGTGCATAATGTTGCTGGGGGGGGGGGGGGGGGGGGTGTGCCATTGGCAATGTCTACACCCACATCCACACGAATGTCCAGCAGAATGAGCAGTAATTGTTTTTTATAATATGGTTAAAATGCTAAGTTTAAATAAATATCATACAGGATTTGCAGATTTTTGACTTTTTTAAATGATTTTAATAGATTTTTTTTAATTACACTCAGCTCATGTTTAGAAAAATCCTGTCACAGCTTGAAAGATAACGATAAAATAATAAGCTCAGGCATTCACAAATGATCACCTCTAGCCTTTACGTAAATGAGTTAAACAGACAGTTCATCCAGACGGAGCCACACTTCAATTCCCCAAAGGCCTCACAGCTCATATCTACTGCATTCCCAGTAAAAGTCTCTCCTTTTTCCTATGTGTCTCTCACTGGGAACTATGTGTGGCCCAGAGGCAAAACGGGAGTCATCACCTCACTCAGAGAATCCTCTCCGCAGAGTCTTTATGGCTCAATTTACTGTGCAACAGCATCCATAAAATGATTTAATGGGGTTAATGTTGTTAGGTACACATGCCTCAGTTGCCAGTAAACATGATGTCTAAATAGCTCATGCAGGAGGGGCAGGAATGAGAGAATATTTTCAGATCTTGTTGTTTTGATATTGTTTTTTCCCCTAAAGCATGAAAACTTTGCTCCCGCTGTCTGCTTAGTTCTGCTTGAGTTTTACCCTGATCCATCTTTCACCACTTGTACCATCCTCTCCATCTGCTTCCTACATCTGTGGGACAAAACTCCAGATTTTGGTTCTCCGTACTAATCTTGCTCAACTCACCATAAACTGTCTCCAAAACACAAAATAAACACAGCAGTGCTTCATTCTCACTTTCTACTCACCTGTTCTGATAGACGGACAACTATTCCCTTGTACTTTGTGTCCTGTTATCTCACACCTGACTCTTGCTTTCCCATAAGGAAGCCAAATGTAGACTTAAAAAAACCAAACATGTATGAGTCACATGAGTCATTAAAGTCAAAAATATGAGTGAGAGTATCTATCGGTGCTGGGAGGCTGGCGTGTGATGTAATCATGACCACACAGGAGTCAGGATGAACCCGGCTGTCACCGGCTGGTCTTAGTCACGTTGCCATTGAATCATAAAGTTTAATTCTCTTGTGGCACCACCAGATGAGAAATGAATGATTAATGCAGTTTGAGCGAGATGTCACGTAAACTGCTTTAGCAGAGGGACTTTTCTTTTAAAAATATTTGATTCGTTTAATAGCACCCGTGCCATCTTAACACGAGCTTCATAGGCCTATTAAAATTGTTTCATTAATTACTCCACCATCTGCTGAGGCGCTTTCTCTGTGCAACGTTTCCAGCCAACGTGCCCTCTGGCTCGCCTCGCGCTGTATTGATCCAGTTAAATGGACAAGGTGGTCGGCAGACATGGTCGGCTGACCTATGCCTCCCCGCTGATTGTCACCTCTGGGTGATAATGTGTGTGCAAGCAGTCTGTCTGCGTCTCTGCTCCTGCAGGTATGTCTCCTTTATCAGGCCCTTGGGGCTTTTCTCCCAGACCTCCCAGCAAAGCAAAATGAAGCCCAGCACTGGTGCACTGGTTCCAGCTTCTTCTCAACAAGTTAGGACCAGCCTATTGTGAGCCTTTGCTTTAAGTAGAAGCTTCCTGTGTCCTCAAATCTTACAAATACAGAAAAAAAAAACTACATGGAAATTGGTTGTGCTGGCTCACAGAACAGCGGATGTGGTGTGAACATCTACACACAAAATCCAGAAGGCTCTTCCAAAAGGTTTATGGTGTCAGCGATGATGTGCTATATTTAGCAGCTGGAGTGGATGGATGATTTTTTACCCATATATTCAAATACAAACAAATAAATACAATTAAAGTCCAAACCAAAATAAATTAAGTAAGCATCAACTCACATTAGCAATGCAACCACCATCTTAGTATTTTGTTTTCTTTAAATTTAACATTACAGTGATCCAAGTGAGGAAATATCCCTTTATGCTGCATGCAGGTAATCAGTTATAAGGTTAAGCTGTCTTCTTAACGTCTTTGTTCCTAGTCTGGAGGTAAGGAGGAAAAGGGCCAACCAGGCCAAAAGGGTGGAGTTACATACGGCAGACTCCTGGGCGTGTCCAACAGATTGACAGGTGAAAGGATATGATGCATGTTGTGTAGTGGAGCTGGAAAGGTTGTGATTTTAACACACACACGCCCAGCGTTATATAATCAGATTATCATCTGCTATCACCATTAGGAATTTGCTGTCTTTTGATAAAATTGCTGAACACTGAATATTTGTTTTTCCTGCCTTAAACTCAAATTCAGAGTGAGGCGGGCTGAGTCACCACCATCACTGCCGTAATGGTCATAATCATTTTT